AAAAAATTATTTGGGCAAAAATCCACGTGTCATTGAGTCATTGGTTACTTTATATTTTTACTCAAAATTCATTATCTACAAATTATTTTTGACAAATGTCGTCATTTAATTCGCCACTTTACATGTCATTCGCGAGTGTAATACACACACCTTACAAATTTGGCAGATTGTCGAAAAAGTGTCAAATTGACACAGTTGGGTGTGACATGAGATGTCTAAAATGAACAAAGCCTAGTTAAAGTGTCTAAGTGAAAGATCATGCCAAATTTAGGGGGCCACCGATGGGTTAGCCCTTTTTCTTTTAAAGTGTAAACTCATTTGTATGTGTTACGAGAAAAGTGGACAACTAATATAAGACGGAGGGAAGATTAGGCTTTCACACATCTGTATACCAAAAAAATGGTTTTGTTTATTATAAAAAAATTATCATGGTCTTTCCTAAAATTTAATCGGACACAAAGTTTAAGAAAATAAAATTTTAGATCTTGTGATCTAAACTATACACGAGAATATAATAACAAAATATTCTTTAGATTTTACGATTTTAAAGGTGTGAGGTTGGATTTTTGAATTAAAGAGTTAGTAATTTGTAATATAATAGCTTTTCAGCTCCTGAAAATATGAATAAATTCTGGTTTTGATACTCATGACATATGACTTTAACATAATGCACAGGTAGAAAATATGTTACATTTAGACATAATTTTAGAAGCATATTATCCTAAAGAGTATTAATACAAACTTAACGTAATGCTGCGCAGGTAATTAAATTAGTGCAACGGTTAGTACTTCAAGAAATTTGTGACTGTTCTCACAAACAAAGGTATCAAAAGTGCTCATTTCACATAATTGAAAGTTAATTATACTTAATTAGATATCACAAGGATTAAAATAAAAATATATCAATAATTAAGGAACCAAAAATGTTATTAACCGTATAAAAATGACATTCTTTTCTAAAAAAGGGCAATAAGAGGTTACAAGACACATTTAAGTTTTAAAATTTACTAACATGAGTTGTGGTGAGATGAGATGGTTGGATTCACCCTTAGTTAGAGCTCTAGATGCAATGAGCAAATCCGATTTTAATGGGCTCCAATGGAGGTACAAAAAACATCATTGGGAAACCAAAAAGAAAATAGAAATACTATTTAAGAGCTGCCTAAACAGCTAAACTATTCATATCTCAGTTCTAACTCTTGAAACCAAGAAAACTTTTTTTGTTTCAATGGCTACGAATTCATCAGATAACAGTCTACTTCACCTTAATGAAGTGACTGTAGCCATGGTGCCATGGCCTGAACATGGCCATCTCAACTTACTCTTCTATCTCGCACGAATCATCGCCTCCCACAACATTCCTGTACACTTCCTCTGCCTCACTGCTAGGAACCAAGATTTAAGAAAACGCCTCCAAGGTGGTCTCAAAGCATCTCTTGAAAACCTTGGAGATTCAAACATCCATTTCAATGACCTCTTAGTACATTCATCTCCTACAGAAGCAAAAGATGATTTCTTGGAAAGACTAGGTGAGTCCATTTGCAGGACATGTCATGAATTATCGACCAATACGAAAAGATTGGTCATAATTCATGACTGTTTGATGATAACTTACATAGGTGATCATTTGCACTTGATGTCCAACTTCAAGTGTTATGCTTTCCACCCCACTTCAGCTTTCACCAGGTACTCTACACTTCGACAAACTATTCATATACTTGATGAAGATCACGACGAAATGATTAAGCAACTTGGGGATGAGTTTCCAACTGCAGAGAGTACTTTTGGTCCAAATATGGCTGAGTTTGTTGAGGAGGAACTAATATGGAAGCACAACTCTGGAGATATCATTAACTCCTGCAGAGAATTGGAAGGTAAGTTTATAGATTCACTTGCTAAGGTAAAAGAGAATACACCTTTGTGGGCTTTTGGACCATTTAACATGCTGCCTGAATCACTAGACTCGCTTTCTATTTCTTCATCTGGCAACAAAAGTACTCGTCACAACTGTCTCAAATTTCTTGACAAGCAAGATGTTAACTCAGTAATATTTGTGTCGTTTGGAACAACCACTACATTATCACAAGAGCAAGTGAAGGAGTTAGCACTTGGTTTAGAACAAAGCAACCATAAGTTCATATGGGTAATAAGGGAAGCAGACAAAAGGGTAGACATGGAGAATGGTGAAGAAAGACATGAGAAGATTGTGTTGCCAGAAGGGTTTGAAGAAAGAGTGGAAGGAAGAGGAATGGTGGTGAGAAGTTGGGCACCACAGTTGGAAATCTTGGGGCATCCGTCTACAGGCGGTTTTTTGAGCCATTGTGGATGGAATTCTTCAATGGAAAGTATAAGTATGGGAGTTCCAATGGCAGCTATGCCTATGACTGTTGATCAGCCATATCACACTCTGTTGGTATCAAACGTTTGGAAGATCGGAGTCTCTGTGTGGAGTTGGGCACGTCGGAAGGAAATAGTACCAGCAGTGGCTATTGAGAAAGCTGTCAAGACTTTGATGGGGACGCCGGAAGGGGAAGAGATGAGGCAGAGGTTGGTGGAGTTGAGAGATAATATCAAGAAGTCTGTTAGTCATGGAGGACTTGCATACAAGGAGATGGAATCTTTCATCTCTTATATTACCAAGAACTGACTTCTACTGCTCAGTTTGTACTATGTTGGATTTGGCTTGTATGAATTTTCATACGTGATGATGTTTTACTTCAGTTTCGGTTTTCAAAATAAGACTTTTGCTTAATCTTCTGATTCTTGTAATCAAATTTTAAGAGCTGAGTTACCCCTTCTTCTAGATCGAAGAAGGTGATGTTTCTTTTGACATCTTGCTTTAATGTATACATGTTGGAACTGACAAAGGAAGAATTTCCGGAGGTTGTTATTGTTATTATTCCAAAAAATTATTCAAGTATACACTTCATGTAACAACAGAAATAACCAAATTCAGGAATAATACATGCCAGATTTACCATAAGAATCATGTCGATAGCTTTTGTACTTGAGGTAGTTCAGGAATAAATTGTACGAAGTCTTGATGAGCTTGAATGATCAAGTCATCGTCATCCCACTGATCACGATATCTCTCCGTCTGAGTCTTTATCTTCTCCCTAGCGATAAAAAACATTTCCTTTCTCCATTTTTCAGGAGGTGGAGATCCACACTCAGCAGCCAACCAATCTTCATAGTCTAACTGTAAAAATGAGGTCTATCTCAATGAGGCAACAACAACAACAAACTCAGTTTGTTCCCATAAGTGGGGTCCGGGGAGGATAGAGCATACACAGACCTTATCCCTAACTTTGAGAAGGTAGAGAGGTTGTTTCCAAAATCTCAACGAGACAAGAACTTTAAAAAATCATAAAAAAATTGTCAAAAACTAGTTTAGTCACATGGGGATGTATACATGCATTCCCCAACACATTGGTACCAATCTGTCAAGTTTGCTCGCACAACATTAGGAACTTACTATTCCTTAATTCCTTTTTTTTTAAAAACCTTTCTTATTTCTTGCATAACTAGGATGAAGAATGTTCCGTTGCTTATACCCAAGTGTACCGCCACTCCAACCAAGAAGAAAAATAAAACGAAAGGGGTCAATGGAAAAAAGATGAGAAAAATTCAACAATTGAACAAGGTCTCTCAGGTTTTATACCTGAAAATCCATATTGTGAGTGTACCGTTTTGGAATGCAAGAGGCGTCCAAGGATGAGTAGAATGCATCAATATCAGCAATCATATCTTCCTTTGACAAGAGAGAAATTCGACCAGATAAAACACCAGCAATCCACTTGCTTTGTAATTCACAACGGGGGAATGGTATAAGCTGGTGCAAACCAAATCAAATACTTCGTTCATGTTCACGATGAATCTAAACATTAAATTGACATACCTATTCCCAAGACCATCTCATTTACCTTCCATGGCATCCCAACAAATGAAAGACTAGGAGCAAAGGCTGGTGGGAAAATGTGCTTGTAAAGTGGCCCAACACGGTTGTCATCCACTGTCACTATCCCATTAGTTTCAAGGAAAGGGAAATGATACTTGTACCTGGGAGAAATTGAATAGCAACATTACTGAGTACTGATACTTCATCCTCCCATTCAGTTTCAGTCTTTCAGATTAATTTTGTAAGATCATTTGTTAATCATTTTCTATTGTTCCTTCCAATTTACTCTGTGATTCTGATTAAATGGAAGGCGATTAATCTATCACTTTCCTGATGAATCTGTACGGATATACTGTGGAATTCATAAAGAATATTTGTTTTAGTAAAAACATTACTCTCATTTGTTTCTGTATCTGGAGTAGTTAGATTAAACTTTACCTTTTTAACCAAATTATTGATAACTAGCCAGTAGCCCAGTACTTCTGGAGTATATTCTGATCCTGATTCACTGTAGTGGCATATCAACAACTTTAGTAGTAACTGGTTCCAATCATTTGACCCATAAAACCCGTATCATCCATTCATTATCGGTACCTTGTTCACCTCAACATTTTAATGACCCTATAACGCTACCTTAGTTTCTTTCATTTTGTTTAAGATTGGCAAAGGAAAATGACGGGTAATCAAACTCACCCTGTGCAATATATAATGATATCAGCATGGACTTTGGATCCATCATGAAAATTGACTCCACCATCTATACCAACAGCTTCAATCTGCATTATTTAGCCAGTATAAGTTATTTCTAGCAACACGAAGATGCAGCATTATTGGCAATTCCCCACTGAATTACTTAAGTTATTAACAACTTTACCATAGAGTGGAGCCAAAGATTTTCATATCCATGCACCTTTTTGGGAGTCCCACTTAGAGCTGATCTAGAAGAAATGTGGACCTCTTTAGCAACTTCAGCAATTTCTCTGGAGATATCAGAAGCACTTGTGGCAGCCCCTATGACCACAATGACCTGCCAAACCATTGATCATATCCTCCAAACGCAATGTCAATGAAGAAAAAATGTTAAATTATATGGCAACAAGAGATTATTTTCCGTGTTTCTTTTTCTCTCTCTGTAATTAGCATCAGCCGTGATATATTTGTCAAAACTTGACAACTGATATTATCAAGGATATGACCTATTACTATTAAAGAAGTATACCTTATGGAGGTGATATACTTTCTCATCTAAGATCAGACGGCTAAAGACACTAGAATAACAGGAAGATGACCTTTTTTAGGATATAAGGAAATCAAATCCAGTCACACATTTAAAATATTGGAGAATGTTTTCATACCAATCTATCTATCAACCAAACTAAAGATGGAAAGCGACATGTCAACAAGACAAACCACTGAAATAAGCAAGCAAGACCACAACCTCACAGCATTTTCTCCATATCATAACAAGGCTCCAATAAGTATAGAAGTACTTTTTCTACATAGCTTCCTAAGAACAAGGACTAGTATAGCTTTAAACTATCCATGTGTATTTCATTAAAAAAACAGGTGGATCTAAATTAACAAATTATCTGCATTTTGTAGTTGCATTCCTCGCATTTCCAATGTTTTATGCAAAAGTAAGATTTGAATAATACAATTGTCCAAAGAGTTTTGGTTATAGTGAATCCACACTTGCAGTTTTAACATTTTAACTTTCACTAAGTAGGGCAAATATTAATCTAAATAACTGCAAGCTATTTCAAAGTCAATATTGCTGCACTACCAAATTAGAAACATTAAACCTCTCAAGGGAACAATGCACATGACACATGACACATACTTGATCTCGAAAAGGCTCTGGAACCCGGTAATTGTGGCTGTGGATTTGCTTTCCTGGCCATACTTCAATTCCTAAAAAGGCAGAGACCTCTGGTTAGAAACTTTTAATACTGCATATTGACTTAGTTAACTGGAAGGTTAGCAACATATGATTTCAGACACAGTGGAAAAGAATCTGAAAGCTAAAGAAGATGTAGGAAAGAAAAAACTAACTCAAAACTTAAAAAAATATGAATTGCTCGCATAACTTCCAAAACCATGACAAAACCAAAATATTCTTCATATGATAGCCTGACAGAAACTAATGAAACCAAAACTATGTTGAATTGATCTTAAAAAAGAAAAAAATTTAAAAATTGGCTGAAACTTTTAAAATAAAATAAAGGCTAATCTTTTATCCCTAGAATATTCATGCTTTGTCATGGAGACATATCAACTTTCAAGTGTTATGGGAACCCAAATTTCCTAATTGAGTGTACAGGAAAACCATGCCAAATGGTGTATATGTAACACTGATGAAAAGGTTAATTTTGATCAGCCAAAACTATTAAAACACAAAGTACGATAGACCTATTCGCTTAATGTACAAATCAGCTTGGGTTTTATAAATGGATTACCAAATACTTGACATCTTCTTTCAAATTTTGTAATGAAGAATGAATCTTCCAACAGTAAATGACTTATTCCCTTGAAAAATCAATGATGACCACAAATTTAAACATAAGTAATGGATATATTCCATTGTAGTGTTACAATCTGCAGTCAAAAAAGTATACATGCAATGTTGATACGCAAAAAGATCAAATTCGATAGACCACCAGCAATAAAAGACTAGCATGATGTTGATGAAGTTTGCGAAGACCACAGGAGAAGTCTTAGGAGAAACTAAAAGTTGGGTGATTTCCTTGTGTCTACCTAAACTTTGGTGGGTAAAGTTATCAGATGCAGGGTGGGAGGACGCAAGTGCACCACCGTTATTAAGAAAAAGGTTAAGGTAAAGACAGCCAAACTATTAGGCAATTGCAGGTACCCTTTACAACCAACTATACTAAAGTGCAATAATTCTTTGCACAGTGAATATAACTTCAATCTTGTTTTACACAAATATGAATTTTTTTTATCAGTAGACTTTTTTCCTCAAAGAATCTATACTTACCACAAACCCGATCCTGACTAAACAAGGTTCCATTCTGCTACAATCTAGCAGTCTAAAACCATATCTTTAACTGTGAAGACTTAAAAGATCAAAATGCTCCAAGGGTGGCTTAGAGATGGAGTAAAAACTTGAAAACTAATGTTCAATTCTTGGCAGAACAGACACTAGGGGACGTTTGGTATTGGGATGAAGGATAATAATTTAAGTTATTTTATCCTACATTTGGTTAGAGGTATTAGTCCTGAAAATTACTTATGCCACAATTTGAACTAATGCGATAAGTTATCCCATATAAATGGAAAGTGAGAAGTCAACTGCGGTTCCATTATTACAAATAAACATTTAAAGATCAAAACTTTAAATAAATTACCAGGAATATCAGCTATTTGCGGTTCAGTAAAGCGTCCATTACAGATTACTACAGCATCATACTCCTCATTAACAAACACAACATGATCATCATTCTCACTTTTTCTTGAACTAACCTTCCATTTTCCATTCTCCAACAATCCCACATATCCAACTTCAGTTCCAAACCTCACCAGTTCAATAAGCCCAAAATCAGACGCAAAATCATTCAAATAGTCCAACACTTCCCTATGACCCGGATACCGTCTCGGGTCTCTATTGGGTTTTTTCGTGGCCACGAAAGGGTAGTCACGGAAACCCATTACTTCACGTGGAAGGTTTACCCGAAGTGATGAATAAAGACTTGAATGAACAATTCTCCGATTCGGGTCGATCCCAATTGGGTCGGAATCAGTGTGTGGAGTGTAAATCCATGTGCCTCCTAGCTGATTTTCTCGCTCGAATACAACTACAATGTGCCCTTCGCGTTTGAGTTCTCGGGCTGCAACGAGTCCCGCAGGACCAGCACCGATAACGGCAACGTTTTTTGGGGAATTTTGAGACATTGAGAAGAATCTGAAAATGTGCTGGAGTTGGCATATGTGCAAATGGAGAAAACAAGCTTGGTTTGAAGAACAGACAAAAGTTGAATTATCATGAGTTGGTAGTTACGTACTCCATTATTTGATTTATTGATTCATTATTGTGCTTTGTATGTCTGTAGTGTTTTCTGTGAGAATGATGAGAGGAAAGGACCCGCTAATTTGGTTGTATATATAGCCATTACTTTATCCACAATCACCAGCCACTACTAGTCTACTACTAACCACCTATGTCGTCATCATCATTGTCAACCACTATTACCTTTGTCTACAACCAATCATATGTGTCATCACAATCACAGTTGCTGACTATTACTATCAACTGCTACCACACTTACCTTTTCCATCATTATAATTATATCTATTGTTGTTACCGCCTCCCCCATCTCAGTAGCCGTCGACAACTACCACCATACATTTTTCAGTCATCATCACCGCCACCACTGTCACCTCCTCCACCTTCACCACTATAGTCAATCTCTACTACCAACCACCTCCATCATCATAACTAGCATCACCACCAACTATCACAAATACATCACCAACGACTACACATTCTTTAGCCACCATCATTAACACCGCCAACTATTAACATCACCCAACTTCATCATTACAATCACCAACACCACTACCAATCGTCATCATTATGATAGTCACCACAACATCAACCATCTTCACCGTCATAACTATCACCACCATCATTATTTGCCACTAACAACAACTATTACCGTCACCACCACCACTACAAACTATTTCCACCATCACTAACAAGTATAAGTGTTCCATTTTTTTTAATGAAATAATGATTTTATTTTATTAATTCTTTTGAAATATTTAATTAATTTTTATTTAAATCGTATATTTATTATGTACATATAAATAGATTATGTACATTCAAATATTGAAAAATAATTAGTTTTAATTATTCAATGTGCAAATCTAGAAACAACATTTTAATTATTCAAATGTGCATTTAGATTCAGACGTCTCAATATTAATGAAAACAAATTAGCCCTTATATACCAACCATTTTACCATTATATTATTAGCTTGTTCATGAATCACTTTATTATTTAAAATAGTTGCAAGTTGCATTTGCCTTACATATATACAAAACTTGATTTTCTTTACTATACACTCTGTACCATATTTGTCGGCAAGTTCTGTAGAGAATAGCAGAAGAAAAGTATAACTCAGAAAGCCTTCTGCTAGCCCAAGATCGTTAACTAAGATTGGAAGACTCAATTAAAGAAGAGGAAGCTAGAAAGAAGAAGGAATAATTTGGATAGGAGAACTTGGTTATAGAAGAAGACTCTTTAAGTGGGTTGTTCTTGGGTTATTCTTGGGTTACTTACAAATGTACAAGACCACCCATATTTATACTTGTTCATGGATGGTTCTAGAAATTCCTGTAGATACTTTTACAAAGAAAATTCTAGTGAACTTTATCTTCTAGATATTTAGATATTTTTAAAGATAATTATCCTAGATATTATCCTACACTATTCTAGAAACATTACTAGAACAATCTATTATATTCCCAAAAAATCAACTTTAACTTTTTCACACTCTCCCTTAAAGTGATTTTTTGAAAACTATCCCACACTTGTCGCGGAAGAACTCAAACGAAGCATTGCGCCATGTCTTGGTGAAGATCTCAACAATTTCTTCCAAGTTCTTCAAGTGATTTTTCATCAGTAATTGATCCATGTAGATTATCTCCTTGTTGAGTTCTCAGACTCCTCCTTTTTTCTTAACTTCTCGATAATTATATTATCCAGAGAAACACTATCAATTTGATGTGATGTCTCAACGCCAACATAGGATCCACTGCCATATTCTTTTATAATCTCATTAATAGATATTTTGGCAGCTTCAGAACATTCAAAAATCATATTGTTTGTCTTTAAGACTTCAATATCAACTTCTTCCTCTATTTGATCTCTACTTTCTCTATTTGCTTCCAGAATTTGCTCTGAGTCATTAGTTGACCTTGATATTGCAGACGATTGACCATATACTTCCGCTTCCAATATTTGATCTAAGTCAATGACTGACCTCGATATGGCTGATGATTGATCAAAGACTTCAACTTCTCATACATCTTTCTCAATACTTTCTCCATATAGGTCACCATCGGCATATATGGCTCCAGGCACTGATGTTTGTTCAGAATTTACTTCCTTGATTTCTTCGATAGAAGCTACCATATCACCATTATGAACATCTTCAGGAGTTTCTTGCTTCATATCGATGACATCAATGTCTTGCTTCTCCACGTGATCGACTGCATTATATTCTGAATCCTCGATCCAATCTCTTTCAAGGTTGATAGAAACCATAGCATCTATTGCTCGAGCCTCAGCTACTAAACAATTTTCCCAGTCTTCTTCATCAATTTTTTGAGCCATATTGATCTTCTTGGCTCGACAATATCTTTTTATGTGCCCTACTTCACCACAACGATAACAACTGAGAGGCTTCTTACCATAATAATTAGAAGGTTTTTCCTTCTCTCCAGGTGAGCGTGAACCACCTGAGGATCAAGAGTGTGGCACATCTCTTGTTTTTCCTTTAAAATTCCTCTTGTTGGCTACAAGAGCATTTTCTTCTCCTTTTTTGACAAATACACTAGCCAACTGCTTCGACAGTAGTTTCTGTGACGACAACAAATTTTCAAACTCCTCCAAGGATGGTTGTTGAGCCCATCCTTGAATCGACGTCACAAATGAAATATATTCAGGTTTCAACCCACGAATGACTATTCTTCTCATTCATGCTTCAGAAATAGCCTCTTCCAGATTCAATAAACATATCTCAGAACATAAGTTCTTAATCCTTAAAAAAATACTTAGAGATAGAAAGATTACCTTGAGTGGTGTTAGCCAATTCATTCTCCAATATCTGCAGCCGAGCTTCATTCTTCTTGTTGAACAAGCGATCGAGGGTCCTCCATATTTCATGAGCTGATTTACACTTTATAATGTGATCAAATAAGCCGGAGGAGATTGTCCTCTTCAGAATGAACTCCGTCTTTGCATTAACCTACTTCCACTTCTTGTATATTCTACTATTTTCCGGTCCGTCAGCAGGAGGACTTGTGTTACTCCCATTCACAACATCCCACAAATCCTCTGCTACAAGGTATGATTCCATACATGTCTTTCATACCTTGTAATTGGACTGGTTCAACAACTCCATCCCCAGTCCATTAGCACGATCGCTAAAATCCATATAGACAACCAATTGAATCTTCCACTAACCCGATCTTGAAATAATACCCACAAGACAATCTACGGCTATGGCTCTGATACCATGTAGAGAATAGCAGAAGAAAAATATAATTCGGGAAGTCTTCTGCTAGCCCAAGATCGTTAACTAAGATCGGAATACTCAACCAAAGAAGAGGAAGCTAGAAAGGAGAAGGAATAATTTGGATAGGAGAACTTGGTTATAGAAGAAGACTCTTTAATTGGGTTGTTCTTGGGTTATTCTTGGGTTACTTACAAATGTACAAGACCACCCATATTTATACTTGTTCATGGATGGTTCTAGAAATTCTTGTAGATACTTCTACAAAGAAAATTCTAGTGAACTTTATCTTCTAGATATCTAGATATTTTTAAAGATAATTATCCTAGATATTATCCTACACTATTCTAGAAACATTAGTAGAACAATTTATCATATTCCCAAAAAATCAACTTTAACTTTTTCACAAGTTCAAGTGAGTGGCCATGGAATTTATAAGTGTGCACAAACTATTACCCCTCTCGCTTCTAACGCTTCAATAGAACCAAGATGACGTTAAGAGAGTGCTTCCTAAAAGGATTTTAAAACAAATGATTGAGATTGAGGCTAGTGCAAAATCTCTATTCTTGTCCGAGTCTATCTTTCAGAGAGAACTTACCTCTTTCATGGTACCCACCTTCAAACAAACTTATACAAATTAAAATTAAGTAGATGTGTCAATCTTGATCTCGTCTGACTCAGTGTACTCTTGAGCCATTCTTCACATACAAGAAAAAACTATCTATCTAATATACAAAAATTATGGCAATGTGTTTGTATATTGGACTCACTACGGAAGTTAACGGATCTGGAAAAAAAAAATGATGTTATTTTAAGAGTCAACTACATATTGAGTACAACTAATTTACTGAGATGAGGCGAGAACTGTCATTTTTATTGTCATTCAAAATAAGTTTCACTCCGTTGCTCTTTAGGCCGTTAACTATAGCCCAAACTTTTGTGCGATTCTTGAAACCTTTCTTCTCAACCTCCTTATTTACATTGACATGGATCCCGTTTACTTGCACTTGATCTAGACCCTCCACTTTGAAACGCATTGCCAACACTTCTCCTACGATTGCTGCAGCCTTTGCATTGCAAGTTCTACCGCACTCAAGTGACTGTTTCACTGAATGTTCAACCGTTGATGATGTTGCTACTATTCGTCGGTTGTTTCTGTCTACCACATTGGCAGTGATGTACTTCAATGATATGAACAATCTTAACACAAACCTCTTTAGCAACGTCATATTTCAAAAATCCAATCTGTTGAAAAGGAAGTTCTGTTAGCGAGATTAAATTTAGCATCTCCAGCAAACAGGTAAAAGACCATTTTTTTTTCTACAAAAAAATTATAAATTAGAGTTCAATTTTTTGCAAAAATCAGAGAATACTCGAAAGGTCTTCACCCTAGTCAAATATGTCCAATCAGTTGAGATTATGAAGAACTTAGACTATTGAGTTTCTTCCATAATTTTTTTTTTAATGACTGCGGTGTCCAAGACAACTTTTGCGCAACTCAACTAATTCCACGGGATACCTATCACCTTCCATAAGCAACAAATATCAGGTAACTCTGTCGGAAAGAATCACCTAGCATTTTTTTTTGTCTCTACTGAGTTTTGAACCCGAGACCTCAAGATTCTCAACCACTTCATTGACCACTAGGCCACACCTTTGGGGTGTGGTTTCTTCCATAATATTGAATCAAAGTACTTTAAAATCTTGTTTCTTTCCACATTGGTAATTAGGAAGGTATAACAGAGAATAAAACTGAACAGTAAAAAAAATAGAGTATCAAAGTATATTTGACCCTTTTCTTTATTTACTATTCTATCATCAAGGAAAAATTTCATAAGAAGTAGGAACAAAACACCAACTATTAAATTTCAATTCTTTCACTACTCTCATAATTTATGTGAGGCCTATTAATCCTACGAGGTGTCTTGTTGTCACTTATGGCTCCGGCATCAATCTTATGTTGCCCATGTTCCGTAGAAGTGCAGCATATCTTGAACGTAGAAAATCTGCATCAAAAATACCTACTGAAATGCCTTGGCTGTGTAAGAGAAATACTCGACATATGCAAGCATAAAAATACGACAGTCCCTGATGCAACATATATGTTAAAAAAAACAAAAACAAAAAAACGTATCCAAAAAGAAGAAGAATATCTGAGGATTAAAAATAAATGAGAATAATAAATTGTTGATAAAAACTTACAAGCTACCATGTGACTGTTGAGGTATATTATTGATGAAAACTATCTCAAAGAACCCATTTTCTTCTTGTGTCAATGATGTATCGATTCCTCTGTTATTGTAGTAGTCATTCAATATTGTTATTTTGAGAGGGTGAGCTGAGCCAACTTTTCAACTTCAAACTTATGGTTGCATCTATTGGGTTACGAAGGTGAATAGGGCGTCATGCGGAAGTTTACAATTGCAAATCATAAGGCGATAAATTAGATGACAAATAAAATTATACTAAAAGACATAATATTATTATAAGATAGGACCAATTGACCTACATAATTAAAACTAATAAAAGAAACTATTAAAACTGTTGAGAGAATAAATCTCCCCATAAACAAAGCTCTTAAAGAACTACATTGTGCATACTATTGTGTTATGCTATGAGAATAGAGATCTTCAATTTATAGATCTCTAAACTTTTCCTCTAAGGAAATAATAAACCAAATATGGAAGAGAATTATATTTTCCTTTCAGAAAAAGTTCAAGTATTTATGGTAATACTTTGACTTTTCATTAAGGAAAAAAATAAACTTCAAACAAGGAAAGAAAATCAAGGCAAAACCCTAACAACATCATGGTCTGCTTCTCTATATGAGTCATAAACGTTGATACTTTTGTTATTAAGCGACACAAACAACCAATAAGCAATCAAGTTTTTCCTTAACATGTACAGGTGTTGACACCCAATTTTGACCTTTCTCGATATAATTAATTTCCGAACTTCTTAATTTTCAAACGATTGTTTGCAAGTTATTTTAAATAATTTGCCACTTTTTATAATTTTAAATAATTTGCCACTTTTTATAATTTTAAATAATAATATGTCTTTTATATAATTTTGTATATAATTACCATATTTTATGAATATTCAAAAATCATCTCAAAAGGAGTCTCAAAAAATAATAATTTAATTTTGGTAAGTATTTTATTAAATTAGTTTAGTTTAAATTATGGTTATAATTTTGAATCATTAGTTTACAATTTAGTTAATTATTTCATTTCGTTAAAATTAAGAAGCTCATTAATTAATTATATTGTTTCACCTTATTTAATTATTAGTCGAATTTACTATTTAACTCCATTTGACTATTTCTCAAACTCCGAAATTGAACCAATTTAATTTTTTATCCCTAACCCATTTAAAGGGACCAAGAATTGGAGGCCTTTCTTTAAATTTTCCAGCAGCCTTTCCCGCTATGGCCAGCCCATTCCGCCAACTTATTTCCAATTTCAGCCCATTCCAATTCCAGCAATTTCCAGCCCATTTCCCCCTCGACCCGGCCCAAATTCCCAATCCTAATCAACTTCAACAGCAGCTAACGATGACAATTCAAGTTCAACATTACAGCAACAACACGCGTCAAACTTCATGGCGAAACAAGAGCAGTACACGGCAGTAACAAAACGACATCAGCAGCAGCTTCACACAACAACGTCAATTCAAGCGGCGTCCTCATGACGTTAAGATACACGGCAAAGAGCAGGCTGAAGCATGCCTCAGACGAGTGCAGAATACAAATTTTTGTCGTCTTCCTCAGGTCCCTTTCAGTTTGTACAAATCACAGAGCGTTTTTCCCTTTCCTCTTTCGGAATGGGGCAAAAATTTGAGAAAAAAAGGTGTTTATCCTAAATGATGCAAGAAATTTATGATTTTGAATTTCAAATGTACCCTACTCCTACACGATTTTTCATCTGTTTTCTCCCCAATTTTTACCCTAGGGGTCATTCTATAAAGGTGACCCTTACTCACTGTTGAGAGTGGTTCTCTTTTTTGGGGTTGGGAAATTTTGTGTTAGAAAAATAGTTAGAGAAATTTGAGTCCATTTAAGAAAAAATACATACAAATACATAGGTTCGGAGGAATTGCATCTTGGTGGAAAAAGATCGTTTCTACTCAGCTTGCCGGTCCTAGTTCCTGCTCGAAACAAGGTAATGCTCCTCCCCGATAACACTCTCTTTCTCCTTTCCACTTTGATGTGTGATGTTGAAAACCCCCTGTTCTGGGGCTGGTTTGTTATTATGCATCTTTGAGTTTGTAGTGCTTATGTGACACATAGGTTTAGATGATTCCATGAGTTAGTTAGTGTCAACTTAAGTCTTTTGTCGTTCTGTAGCTAAAGTTGGCGTTTCTCCGCCACTCTATTCGAATTTGTTTCAAGGCTTTTTCTTTTCGAATCTACTGTTGGATATGGTCATAAATTTGTGATAAGCTTTAATTTTTGACGTCACATTCCTCATTCTTCTTTCTCGAGTCGGATGAATGAATCAATATGTCAAGATTCGAGTTATTGTTCGTTTTAAGTCTTTTATTGGTGTATTCTGATCATATTCATTGGCATATATGCTTTGCCGATTTGAAATTCGTACTCTCATGTGTCTCTTTGGAATTTGATCTGGATGCTGCCTTATATGCGTATGAGAGTTTGGTGAATATAGCTCGTAGGTAACCGATTGGTCAAAGTTTCATATTTATCTGAGTTGAAGTTTTTCCATGTTATAGTGGTGTCCTGTTCCCGTGTCTAAGCACGAGTTATTTTTCTTTTCATTTTTTTGGATAGCTTATGTTGACCGAGTTTTTATCTCAGAGAGATTATGACCTTAAGGTTTGAGTTTTAATTTATTCTCGTTCAGATTTAAACACATGTCTCAATGTAAAACTTGTATTGAAACCTACTGTATTGTTCTATTATTTATGCATGTCCTCTTTCTTCACTTGAAATTCTGAAAAAATGCCAAGAATCCATCTTTTATTCATGTCCAAAATTTCTGCAAACATTAGTTTATTTTGTTAACTTCGTACACTAATTTGTTCATATCCAAAATACTTAAGTCTATCCCCTTAATACATATGCATGTTGCTGCCCTTTCTTAGTGGTATGAAACAATGATTTTGTATTTTGTCATTTTGTGGACTGCTATATGTTAAGAGGGAAACTTATTTTTCAAGGTGGTGGTCTACTTTACTGTAAACTAGTATTAGTCTTATTCTTTGCTTCTTGAATTTAGTTCTTTTTTTTTCATCCGTATATGACATTCCATATTGCATTTTATACTTAATAATATCAACTTCAACAGTCTCCCCCATTTTAATTGATAATTGCCTCCTTGTCATTATCTTTGCCTAAGTGATTATGTCACAAGTCACTCCATTTGACCACTTTTAGTTTAATTGTTTATTTATTATCATCTTTTGTGTTTGATCTTTTCACGTGAGGTTGGTTCAATTCCAAGTAAAGGTTCTCCTTAAGTGTCGCATGCATTCTTTAGCTCATCTTGTATAATATCGACCGCGTGAGCTATTCACATATGTACACTGCTTCTTCTTTTTTACGTTGTTTTGACTTTATCATATAAGTTTGAGTATGCTTCCTTTCTAATTTCCATCTTGTTTTGTTCTTTTCTATGTATGAACCGGCTTCTCCCGAGTCTATTTTGGACTCCACTCATACATATTCGAGTTGATTTCCCATCGAGTCAACCCCCTTTCGAGTTAAAGAATTGACGAACAGGTCCCCAGGTTGAAAGAAGCAACAGATCAATAATTTGGAAAGATTGGGTCAAAGACCCACCTTTCATTTTCGTATTTTATTATTTTGGGCCTAAGCCCTCGTCATTTTATTTATTAGTATTCTTGTTAGAATTTAGGACAGGTGGAAGATGGGCTTAAGGCCCAAAGAAGTAAGTTTCGAAACTTAGTCTAGGATAGGTACAAAAAATGGACAAGAATTGAACCAAAGGCCCAAAATGAAAGTAGGCCCAAGTATTGGCCCAGGCAGACAGATCCAGACTTGGGCCCAAACTTTCTTTCCTTATCTATTCAATTGTTATTATATGTTTTATTTGTCAAAATTAATCTTAAGATTCTAAAAATTCAACTCCCCAAAAGAAAGCCGTTTTGAGTTGAAATTAAAACAAACTCATTTTTTATTGACCTTTAGAATATTTATTATATTTCACTTAAGTAAATGCCCTTATAATACTTCCCTTTCCCAAAAAATAATAATAATAATAAAAATAAAAATACGTTGTGCACGGAATACATTAGGTTTGATACATCCCACATAGTGGGATACATAGCGTTGTGCACGGGA